GTCGCCAGACTGGAGTGCAGCGTCCGCTCCCGGCCACCGCAGCCTCGACCTGCCGGGCTCCGGCGATCCTTCCGCCTCAGCCTTCCGAGTAGCCGGAATTACAGGCATGCGCTACCACGCCCGGTTGATTTTTTGATTTATTGTAGAGATGAGGTCTCGCTGCCCAGGTGGGTCTCGAACCGCGGGTTCAGGCAATCCGCTCACCTCAGCCTCCCAAAGGCGCGGGATTACAGGCTGAGCCACCGATCCCGTCTATGGTTTGGTTTTTACAATGTGTTGGAGGAGGAGGATCATTGAGACCTTGCTATAAACGGTTTAGAGACTGTGTCAAGACTTAGCCCTCCTTTTGTGCATGGATAAAATTAGCCCAAATAATTTTGCAATTCATTTATCAGACAGGAAATCAAGACTTCTTAATATATAGACAGGCTGGATCTATGCTTTTAAAATGAACTAAACCAAAAATTGATGTATTTATTTTCTCGCTTTTTGCTCCTTCAGAAACAGGATTTTCTATCAGAATACATGTTATAATACTGTTTAGCTTTTGATATTAGCTCAACCACAGATTAAATAATTTTATTTAATTGAAGAAAGTATTCAATTATTATTCCATTATCAAATACGATATATAATATCTTTAAAGTTGATTTTTCAAATGTGAATCTAAATATGTAAGGGAATACATTCTATTTTGACTGAACTTTATACTCGTAGTTGAGTGACATAAGATTCTATTTATTTTCTCCCATCAAAACTTTTTTTTTACACATTTTAAGTTTAAGAAGAGTAGAGATTACATAGACAAATAACTACCTTTCCTCTATGAAGACTTCCTATTGGTTCAGAAAATAAATTCCGTGTTTACATAATTTCTTAAAGTGTAATTTTAAGGAAGCTAAGATGTATAAATTTCAAACAAATGTATAGCAGAAAAAGTCAAAATTTGACAACTCATGAATAAAGGTTCCAGCAGAATAATAAAGCTGGTCCAAAAGAAGATAGGAAAGACTGTATAACAGAGAAGGTGAATTAAAGATGGAATGCTAAGATAAAACTAAATTAAATATAAAATGGTTTATGTCCTAGAGACAATAAAACCATAACCTTCTGGTAATATTTTCTAGTAGAAAAAAGTCATTTGTATGCAATTTGAACAAAAAAAATTTATTCAGTATTTACATATTTTTTACAATTTAACATCTAATCTTGCAGAATCTCAGCCTAATCAAAAAATAGCAAGTTAAGATGAGTTCAGTGGCTCAGCCTGTAATCCCGTGCTTTGGGAGGCTGAAGTGAGTGGATTGCCTGAGCCCACAGGTTCGAGACCCACCTGGGCAATTTGGCGAGACGGCATCTCTACAATAAAAATTAAAAAAATCAGCCGGCCATGTAGTGCGCTCCTGTAGTTCCAGCTACTTGGAAGGCTGAGGCGGAAGGATCACCAGAGCCCAGCAGGTCGAGGCTGCTGTGGCCGGAAGCAGCCACTGCACTCCAGTCTGGGTGACAGAGTGAGATTCCAACTCAAAAAAAAAATTTTTTTTTCCAGATAATTAGATTATTTTTGGAAGGACTATTAGGCACTAATCCATTATATCTTTGAAAAACATGCAGTCATACATTGGACTTATTTTTAAGTTTGAGATAACTTTTCTTAGCACCCTCTGCCCCATAGTAAAATGTTAGTACTAAGGTCAATACTATGTGTCAGTAGCACTTTGTATGCATTCTTTCATTTAGTTCTAAAAATGTTTATCGATGAGAATAAGACATTTTATGAAGCACTATTTCCTTGGGAAAAGGTCTTATGAGGTGAAAACTTGGATGAAATTTTAAATATTTTGAGGGTTATTTTCACACACAGCCAAATTCATTTCTAAAAAACAAACAAAAAGGACTTGCCAATTTATACTGCTTATGCACAGTAGTATACTCTGACCATCATACTGATACAATAGAGCATCATATTTTAAAAATTGCCCAATTTGGTAGGTAAAAAATAAAATCTTGTTTCAACTTAACTAACTATATGGTATCTGTCTAGTTATTATTGAAGATGACTTATTAAAACATCATTTTCTGGGCTTTTCTGTAGTCCTGCCTAATAGGGAGTCTGTCAAAAAGATGCTTGAGCCAAAGGGTTTGAGGCTGTTGTCCAAAATGATTGTGCCTATAAATAGTCACTGCACTCTAGCCTGGGCAACACAGTGAGACCCGTCTCTTTAACTAACTAAATAAATAAATAAAACCCCATGGTTTTATTATTTTCTTTTAAAATTGTTGTGTGCAACCGGGCTCGGTGGCTCAGCCTGTAATCCCACGCCTTTGGGAAGCTGAGGTGAGTGGATTGCCTGAGCCCGCAAGTTCGAGACCCACCTGGGCCGCGAGACCTCATCTCTACAAAAAATCAAAAAATCAGCCGGGCGTGGTAGTGCATGCCTGTAATTCCGGCTATTCGGAAGGCTGAGGCAGAAGGATTGCCGAAGCCCAGCAGGATGAGTCTGCGGTGGCCGGGAGTGGCCACTGCACTCCAGTCTGGGTAACAGAGTGAGACTCCAACTCAAAAAATAAATAAATAAAATAAAATAAAATTGTTGTCTGCATATTTTTCTTTTTAGAAGGTACTATCCATGTTTTTTAAAATTTCAGAAATTTCAGCTTTTAATATCAGAGAGATATTAACTCTTTGTGCTTTTTGCCTCCCCAGTTTTATTGAGGTATAATTGACAAATAAAATTGTATATATTTAATGTATACAAACCCCTTTGTGTTTAATTCTTAAACATCAAAGAGCTTGTCATGAAAAGTATTACTTGGATATTTTATGTGAGGACTAAAGACATCTTAACTAAGACTCATTTGTGATAACTTGAAACTCAGCATACATTTATGCTAGTAAAGAAGCAATATATTCTTCCTCTTTTTCATTAGAACTTTTATTGAAAAATAAAATAAACATATATAAATAATGTTAATAAGGGCGGAGAACCGAAACTATAGGAAACACAGGAATATGTGCAAATTAAACATTCTTTGCAGATTGACTGAAATAATTCAATTAATAAGTAAACAAAATAGCTTTTAGTGATTATATTTTGAACAAATTAAAATAGCTAGGTGAATTTCCAGAATAGTTTAAACAATTTTTGTGAGGTGTGAGTCAAATGAAATCAGAAACTGAACCAGAAGTATATCCAAGATTGTGCAATTTAACTTGCATGTAAAGTATATATATTACATTGAAAATGTATATATACGTATTGTTTATATATAAAGACATCTATAAATATATTTATATATATACACAATATATGCACATATATATATAAAACAAAATATGTCATTACTACTTTAAGTGTTTTAAAGATTTTCTCTACAACCATAAACCATAGATCTATTTTAAAGTGGGCATGTATTTTTTAAATTATCTTTTTCCCAGGAATATGAAAAGATACCTGAATTATAACATTCACTCTTAATGTGTTACTCTTTACGTCACAACGATCTGGGGATTACATACACACACACACACACACACACACACTCACACACATATCATATACAAAATTATAAAAACAAACATTTTAAATAGTACTATATAAAACACATGCATATATACACTTAAAAATATGTATAAAATATAGAGGACTAGAGAAGTATTATGATAGTAATGAAAGAAAATAATCTGAGTGCTGTAGTTTCTCGCATAAATTGATATGCATATAACAATCACAGAGGTCAGGCTCCATGACCCAAGCCTGCAATCCCAGCACTTTGGTGGAGGGCTAGGCCTTGAGGATCCCTCAAGATCAGCCTGGGTAACATAAAGAGAATCTGTTCCCACTACCCCCCCCCCAAAGTAAGAGAATCACAGAAGCCTGGAGGTCACTTTATTTGCTGTTGTTGGGGGTGGAGGATGCCATTCATATTCTTTGCCAAGGCCCAGAGTCTCACCAGCCTGCAGTGTATTTCAGAATGAAGCCAGAATCCACTGTTGTTTTTTTTTTCCCCTCCCTCCTCTCATGCTGAGGAAGCGCAAGTTTAGAAGTACCTAGGCAGGAGGGGTAGGAAGACAAGGGACTTGGTGTTAGAGGGGCGAAATCCTAGAAAAAACGTTCTGGGAAATCTCTCTTGACCCTTGCTCCTTTCCTGTGGCCTTCTGAGTTCAGAGCACCGGTGGATGCTGGATGCTGTGCAGGGCACACACGCCTGTCTCTTATGTCCTGTCGCTCAGGTCATGGGTTTGAGCCCAGGTAGGGGATTCCACGAGTGGGACAAGGGAAGCCTGCCCTCCCCTCGACCTCCGCTGCCCACTTCGAGATCCAAAACATCCTCTAGGTGTGTCCTCTCTCACTTTACAAGTGGAGGGACTGGAGCCAACAGTTTGCTTTTCCTCGAAATCCCCAAGGCCCTAAAAGCCCAGGAAATGCCAAAGACGACGCGGGGGTCAGGGTCAAAACCAGGGTGGGGAAGTGGGAGAGGGTGGGGCGAGGTCGCACACAAAACTGCGACTGGGCGGGTTCCTTCGCCAGTGTTGTGATCCATCAATCCCGGAGCCCTTTGGTCCTTCAGATCCTCCAACGTTTGGAAGACAACTTGAGAGTGTGAGGCGGGGGCTGGGTCGCTCTTAGGACCCTGATATCGGGACTTAATCCCATGGAGTCTGGGGATCCTCTTTGATCCAGGCTTCAGTTTCGCTCCTCCTTAACCCGTTTTAAAGCGCCAACACCCCGGGCAGGGAATTTTGGGGCTCGAATACCTCGGCAAATAAATCTTGGCCCTCCTTTATCCTTGCCATGATCAGGTTACTTTTCACGGCCTGGAACCGGCCGGGAGTTGGGGGATATTTACTTTAATTTCTTGTTCGTGTGTTCAGTGCACCTTGCGTGGTTGGGTGTGGAAAGCGGGGGAGGGGGGGGGGTTCCCAAAACGAGTGAAATTCCCATTCCACGGGTATTCCCATGCCTGTGGGGTTGGCAGTTCTTGAAGTTTAGGTCGTCGGCAAATAACTACAGATCACAATCGCGCCCCCCCATCTTCCTCCCTCCCTCCCTCCCTCTCTCTCTCTCTCTTTTCTTTTCCTGCTTCCAAACGCCCTCTTCCAGGCTGAAGCTGGGCAGGTCTCCAAAGGTACAGCAGCCACAACAATCCTGCAGTTCAAAGTTAAGCAGCAGTTGCACAACTTCCAGCAGCACTCTCAGCCGGCTGCTAATGAGCTGAAAGCCAGCAACATCTGAGAAGAGAAAGCGTCCAGCCTTCCCCCTCCCCCCTTCACCCTAGAAACTCGGACACCCCCACCCCCACCACCAGATCACTTAAGACACAGGCCTTGTTATTCGGCTGCTGGACAGACCATGGCTCCCTTTGGAAGAAACTTGCTAAAGGCTCGGCATAAAAATAGGTAAATTAAAGTGTGTGTATGTGTGTGTGCGTGTGTCTGTGTTTAGTCGGAACCCTGTGTGTACAAGTATGTGTTTTGTTGCTGTTATATTCTGATGAAAATTGCTTTTGGGGAAACAAAGCCCTAGGGGTGAGGCTAAAGGGTAAAGACATTGACCCAGTATTGATGATGGCAGTGGCCAGCTCTAGGTTCGAGGATCGCAAAAGAATGATGATTTTTGACCCACTCAATCCTTAACCAGTCTTGGTTCCACAACGAACACCACCTAGAATTTCTCTCTGTCCTACCCTGCACATTTTAGGGTAGTAGGATACAAGTGTCATTTTGCTTTCAACATAACTTTGGAGTATTATAGAAAGGGTTAATGCTTTGATGAAGATATAACTAGAATTTATAGCCACTAATTAGATTGAAAAACACAGCTGCTGTTACAATCCAGAAACAATAGTTTGGCTCCCCTGAGATTGAGGCATTCCGGAAACCTGGAAAGTTACCAAAGTGAAAATGCTCTGTAGAGAAATTTTGCGTGAACTGATTCCTTTGAAAATCTTTGAGAACTTTAGGTGGTTTTAGGCACTAATGAAGGATTCAAGCAGCTTTTCTCCCTAATCCTCATTATTGCTATTTTACTTTAATTTGATTTGATATTTCAAGCCTGAAATTCCCAGGGTATAAATGAATTACTTACACACACATAGATTTTTCTTGAGGCAGTATGTGTGCTTTAGTCTTATTAAATATTTTACTTATACTGCAAATGTTACATTTTTATGCCAAAAACTGAGGATAATTCTAGACATGGGCATCATTTTAAAATATATATTTATTTTGGCATAGGGTCTTTTCTACCATTCTTCTCCCAAGCATGCCTGTTTGTACTTGTCATAATTTGCTCAGTGTAAATTTAAAAGGATACAATTACATGGTAGGAAATGATATAATTATTTTCAAGTGTCTGCATGACAATATAGAGTGATACAACTTTAAGGTAAATTGCCATACTTTATTTGATGCACAAATTTCTACTTAAAAAGTCTGTTTTTTCACTTATTCCAAATGTTTTCAAGATTTAGTTGACTGAATTTTGTAAAGAAACTAAAACAGCCATAACAAATACTGTGAAACTTTCTAAACCAGTTTTCTCTTCTAATAACTTGACAATGTATCACAAATATGGTATTTGTAAGAAGTATCAATATTGAATACATCTATAGGTTAAAATACAGTGATTTGAATATTTTAAAAATAAATTAGTGATGCTTATCAAAAAATAGATTTGTGTTTAATGGTGGCAATGTATTTAAAAATGTTTCAGAAGAGCCTCCCTCCACCGCTTTCCACCCAAATTCCTGCTTTTTAAATGATTTTCTCTAGCACTATTTTTTTACTATTACTTTGGCACTTATTTCAATCCCATTAGAATAAGTTAAAATCTTTAAAAAGATTATGGTTTTAGCAAACAAGCTTTGCTCCTGGCATACTATCCCTGTCATCAGGAGTTTTTTTGTTTGATGTTTTTTTTTTCTTTCTTTGATTTGTTTTGTTTGGTTTTAGCAATTCATGAATTCTATCACTGGTATGCCAAATACGGTGCAATAAAACTTTACATGCACCCCTGTGGGCTTCCCTCAGGAAAGTACATTCCCACTATCATTACATCACTTTTGCCACTGCACTATCTATTCTACCTATAAAACCAGGTTTCCTTCAAGAAGGTGAGTAAACATGCATTTTTTAGCATGACATTTTCTATGAAAAAGTGAAAATAACAATTAAAATAGGGAGTTTAATAGTGTTTTGAGTTTCTCTGAGAAAATGGAATGATGTGTTGGCAAAGGTGGAAATAGTGAAGATATGCATAAACTGCTCTAAAAATGGAGTGCTTCCTCTTACAGATGTGTACTCTTCCAATCCTTAAAAAAAGTTAAATAATGGCAGCGGTCTAGGACATAAAAACACCAATTGGTGAATAAATCACGAGGTATTAAAATTTAATTTGGGGGTATTTTGTAGTGCTATATATGAGGTGTTTTTTATTTGTTTTTCTCCTTATCAGAGGTAAAACTACAGGTGAAACTTACTTACATGATTAAGTATTTTCATTTTCTTGACCAGGTTCCAAAATGATTTGCCTAATCACACTTCAAATTACAGAAATCAAGTATCTTTGCTTAAATCATTTTATAAAAAATGTGATTAATGATAAGATAGTTATCTGATAAGAGATAGTATATTCCTCAAATGTATATGTATATATACACATATATTTCATTGTATAATGTAAGGGGAGAACTTGAATAACATATTTGGATGACTTATGATATATAACTTAAAAAACAAAAATCTTATAAGGCAGAATTGCATCTTTTTCAACAAGAAAAAATATTAACTACTAGAAGAAATATTGGGTATTTGACATAAAATTTTGAGAAAGTGTATTTACGGAAATTTTCTGTTTGCTATTCTCTGCTTGGCTTTTAATTTTTGTTCACTTTTGGTGTAATATTTAATCACTCAAGATTGTACCTTATGAGATAGTTCTGTAATTGTTCCCATAATAAATGAATACTTGGAAGTTTTTGAGACAAACAGGATGCAAATAAAACTTCAAAGTATGAGACCTAAACACTTTTAGAAAACACAAACCATAAAGTTAGAAGAAGACAGGCTATATCTGTCTAGACACCATTATGTTTTTATTCCCAGGATAGTGCTGGCTTTGGGTAGACCTGCAATACAGTTGTTCATTCAGTTTTGTAAATTAAAATTCTAATTTGTACTAAACTGGAAACATAGTATTTTATTCTCTATTCATCCTGTGAATACCAGCTGGTATTCTATAAAAGTGTTTGTTTAATAAGGCTCAGTTGACATTGAAATAATTCAAAACTTCAGGAGACAGACAATTATTTGAATTCAAATACCACGCTAATTTTATTCTTCCAGATAATTTTTTCTAAATTTTAAAGAGTATTTAATTCAACAGTTTAGGAAATAGTCTTCAATAAATTTGAGACTAACAATAGTAGAACAAAATGGTTATATTTGGGCATACAGACTTTTTAGGCTTTTTAAATTTTCTAATTGTAGTAATGTTTAGTTGGAAGACTACGGTTTTCAGAGGAGCTATTGGTTTTAGGAGATAGATTACTTACTTTAGTTCCAGAAAAAATAGCATGTTTTGTGACTGAATTCCAAGGATAGATGCAAATCTTCTTAACTAGATTTTTGTCCACTGTGAAGAATAAAAATATAGGAGAATCTAGATAGATTTTTCTTCTTTTTATTTTAATTTTTATTTTTTATTATATAGATGTAGGGCACAAGTGAAGTTAACTATATAAATAGGGTGCATGCAGGTGAAGTTTGGGCTTCTAACTGGCCCTCTCTCCGCCAGTAGTGGACCAGGTACCCTTTGTGTTGTCATGTGCCCTCCACCCTCCTTCTTCCTTCCCTCCCCTAGCAGTGCCCAGTGACTGCCAGTCCCCTCCCTTGTGCTAATGTGATTTTCAACCAACTATTCACGTTTCTAAAAATGTTTTCTAAAAATCACTAGGCAGTCATTGTTTCTCATATAAGCCTAAGAAGCAAATAATAAAGCACTGATCTAGGTGATATTCATATGGACATTCAATAATTGAATGTAGATCATTAACCTACTTAAATATTCACAAAGGTCCCATTTGTGCATGCGACTGTTCTCATGTTAGATTATTTTTCCAAGGTGAGGATTGTTTTAAAAGTTAATATGTCTAGATAACAATCAAAAACATTTCTAAAAGTTCAGAAAACTGTAATGTCACTATAAAACATTTTAGACTACTTGGTTGTAAAACATGATTTCTTGGCATTTTAATTAATATAACTTGGAAGCAGAAAATTGCTTGGTACATTCACCAAAATTTGCTAGAAGCAGAAAATTGTCATGATGGAACAATGCCCTTATATCTGCCAAAATAAGAAATTAGAATAATTCATGTAGGTTATTTGTAAGATTTAAAAATGAATATAAGAATATAGAATCCAAGTGTAAAAGACCTTCCTAATTATTTTTAAGTAGGGCTTATTATTCTCTTGTATTCTTTTGTGTCATTTCACACTTTCTCTTCCATAATCCTAAACATATGAATATCTGTCTGTCCACCACAAACTATAACAGACATCTTTATAATATCAACCTAAAATTAAAGACTACAAAAATGTACTTATACTGAACTTGAGCTGTACTTGTTTAAAAGTATATTACAACTCTACTGTTTTATAATTGATATAAAACATTTACATGCAATTTGCAACTTGCTTTTGTATTTGTCAGGACATATCTGACCTTTCATTTAAAACCATGTACATTATATTGCCACCATTAATAAATCATTCAATGATTGCTTAGTCAGAAGAAAGAATTACCTTTTATGGTTAGGGTAAAAGTTGCTGTCAAGAAGGATGTCTTCTCCCTGTAATTAGACGTATGAAATTTAAAATGTATGAATGCTGTTAATGGGAAAATATTATGAACTATTTGTGTACCCTTTCAATAGAGACTTTAAATGCTCTAAAAACTGAACTGAGAAGTGCCAGACATTTGAGTATATAAGTCTTCATAGTTCTTCAGAATTCCTAAAAGAGATTTCTCTTGATGATACCTGGTAACTTAAGTAATTATTAGTTGGCAGCAGACAGCCCATTATAAACAATGACTGGAATGCATTATCCTTGGCAAAAAATATCCTGAGAGCAGTATCAGGAGTGAAATTGAGCTCTAGGTTAAAACTTGAGTTGTTACTCAAAAAATCCAAGGCAACTTTAACTCTACTACATAGGATATGTTATCAATGCATGACACATAACCGTATCAATGCATGACACATACCAAAGTGAGAAGTTTTTTAATGTTTTATTTTTGGAAAAAGTTTTTTTTTTTTTTTTTAAGTGTGAAACGCGTCAACAATTTTATTTTGATAATGTCTCTATTGGCTGTATAACTTAGGAAGTTTTGATGT